TATGTATTATTTTTAATTATTAAATGATTTTTTGATTGATTAAAAATTAAAATATTATTAAAATAAGAAAACATTTTTTTACTCATATGCCTCGCTTAAACTCGCCTAGCCCATAACTTGACCTCCACGCATCGTCATGCACTGCGCCCATAGGATATCCTCATGTCTTCATTTGGACTTAGACTAGCGTACTCTGAAGAGGAGAGTGAGTATGAAAGTGGCCCATTAGCCAAAAAACATAAAATAATAATAATAAAATCTTACACTACACACGACGAGAATGCACAATTTAAAGTGTAATTTTCTTTTTTTTTCTTCAGCTTTATTCTTTTCATTGACTAAAGGTTACACTGTATGCCCATTCAAAGTTACGTATTTTCTAATTTTTTTTTTCATTGAACAAAGGGGAGAAACAAGATAAGTCAACTTTCCGACGAAGATAATTTGTGGAAAGAATTGTCATGATGAGCAACATACATACTAGAAGATAACGCTGAAATAGTACAAAATACTCGAACCAAAACCCCCCAAAAAGTATCCCAACCACACCAAGAGATAGACCAGGAGTATCTCAGAGACTGGGTTGGAATTTACGTACAAAGGGAACTCCTATATATAGCAGAACAAGGAGATTGGCCAACTGTTTCTGTAAATTCGATGCACAAAATACCTCAATGCCTTAAGATTTTGACAAAGTTGCAATTCATACTATAAATTTAATTTGAACTTTCAAATATTGAGAAGATTGAAAATTTAGTATTGCATTGTAACAACTTGAATAGGTACTTTCTTCTCATTTGATAGTAAATGTGTATTGCGCTCATACCTACCTAAAAACAGCGAGCATATATTCTCACTTTAAGGATTTGTAATGTCAATCAAAAATACAAAGCAGATTAAAGCTTGGAATAGTTCTAAATTCTTCTTATTTGCCAAGACTCACTATTCTAATAGCATTGCAGAAATGAAAAAGTGGAAGACTAATATATCAATTCCAGTTTGTCTAGAACTTTGATTTCTGTTTCGTCTTCGCATTCCATGAGCGTTTGGACCACTGAAGCCATTGTTGGCCGCTTTCTTCTATCTTCCTCTACGCAAGAAAGCCCTATTTGAATCAGTGTTGCTGCCTGTTTTCTGCTAAACTTTCCTTTCAATCTTGGATCCACTATGCTCTCTACCCAAGATGAATTTCCGCACTGAGCTTTTTCCTTCACTGTCCAGCTAAGATTTTTAAGAGGAGTTTCTTGATCGTCAGCATCATCTACCACCCAATATGAGAACTTAACTCCCTTTATCATCTCCAGGACTACAACTCCATATCCATAGATGTCAACTTTTGCAGTGATAGGATGGTTCAGTGCCCACTCCGGAGCCCTATAGCCTTTTGTCCCTCTAATTCTTGTAATTTCTGAACCAGGGCCATCTCTCCGGGACAGTTTTGCAAGCCCAAAATCTGCAATCTTGGGTTGAAATTCATTGTCTAGAAGAATATTTTCTGGCTTCACATCACAATGGATAACCCATTCTAGACATTCATGGTGGAGGTGGGCCAAACCTTTGGCCGTACCTAATGCAACTGCATATCTTTGTTTCCATCCTAGAAAATTTGAGTTGAAGAGATGTTTGTCAAGTGACATGTTGTCGACAAACTCATATACTAAGAGACGGTGTCTCCCTTCTGAACAAAATCCCCACATTCTCACAAGATTCATATGATTGATCTTTCCTATGGTTCCAATCTCTGCCAAGAACTCGTCCTCTGCTTGAAAAACATCTCCCAGTCTCTTCACTGCCACCAGTCTATCATCTGCCAGAGAACCCTTATAAACGGTGCCAGAGCCTCCTCGTCCTAGCTCTTCCCTGAAGTTATTGGTTATTTTCTTCAGTTCAGCGTAGTTAAACCTCCTGAACTGGCTGGATATCATGCAATATCCAGCCTCAACCGAAGTTGGAACACCATGTTTCCTTAATAGAAACCACCGGCCTAATAAAATAAATATCAATTCAAGTGCTCCAAGTGCCGCGCAAAATGAGTAGAGATACACCCATCTCACTGTTCTTCTGGCAAAAGCATACATGGAAGGAGAACCTACAGGAATTTCTATTTCTCGAGATTCACACGTTGTGCTGGAACCATTAAAAATTGATGGTTTTGATACTTTCACACTCCTCGGGAGTTTAATGTATACACTTCCTGGAAAATCTGGAGACTGAAAGCCATTAAAAAGATCATTTTTTACATAGCAATGTCCATTTCCCCATGTCCTGTAGGTAAATCCCTTGCAAGCGGAATCTCTTCTACAGAGTTCCTGGCAAGCTTTCAATGTAAAATTCGGCTTGTAATACAGATCAGACCCAAAGTAATCAGTCTGAGAAAGCTCCAGGAATTTTACTTTTGAATTCAAGAGGGTTTGGTTGAATGTAGGCTTACAACCAGCATTCCAGTCACTTGGATCATTCACTTCATACCCAGGAGTGCATATACACTTGGGTTTCTGTGCATAAACACATATACCATTACTTCCACATGCCCCATGTACTTGACAAGGTTGTGAAATTGCTTGCCATGTTATTGTCCATAGTCCTGTTGAATTAATCAAACTATAGATTCTAAGATTCCCATCATGGTCTATTGTTAACCTTCGTTTTATCCCAAATCCTTTATCAGAGGCATTGGCTTGAAAATGATCACTTGATTGAAGCAAGCCCATATCATCTAAAACTGCTAATCTGCTACCATTGTAGTTGGTTCTTCCACTTGTATAGACGTCATAATCAGGATTTGGCCAGTAGAGGCTAGATATTTGAGGGCTATCAGTTATCAATGATAAAACGTTGTTACTACCAAAATATAAATTGAAGTAACCTGATTCGAAGCTTCCTTTTCTGAAGGATGCTATCAATCTTTTGTCCTTGGTCAATATTTGAGAAGGTAAAAGAGTATCAGTAGGAACATCAAAGCTTTGCCAGAGAATATCACCTCGTGGATTCTTCAAAACGAGGTTTCCTGTATTTAGAAGCTCAGCAGCAGAAACATCAGTGGTGCGTGTATTTGTTTGCCATACAATGCTTCTATCAACATCTGTCAAGACCATGGTTCCATCTCTCCGAATAGATACTCTTGACCCCTGGCTGTTAACAGGCTTGTCCCGGTTGGCTGTCCAAACAACGGTTCTTTCTTTAGAATTGGTGAACCAAATTGCAAACCAATAAGCGTTGCTTCCCAATCCATAAAAGCCACAGGTAAAAGAATTATCTGGGGAGGTGATAAAAGTATTGCCTTCAACAGATATAGAAGCACCCCTTTTCAAAAGAAGCATAGACTTTGAATTTGCAGAATGAAAGAGGGACAGGGTGATTAGTAAGAAGAGGATACTTCTCATTTTTGAAAGAATTGTGCTTATATTATGAAAGATAGATTGATGTTTGTTAGTTGTATGATACCTTTATGGAATGAGTGAAATATCAGAAAGGGCTTAATTAAAATTTTCTATGATTTGAATCAAATCTCAATATCTTATGGTTTAATTTTATGACCACACAAGTTGCTTTTAACTTGAAATCTCTACAAACAGAAATGTTGATCAATTATTTGTGCTGTCTAGTGAAGATGACAAAAGTTGAAAAAGTATACATTTTGTGGGTAAGAAAATGAATTAATTGAGGGGCAGTGCTAAATGCAAGGAGACTACTGCCAACAAGTCAATGCAGAATCTTACATGCACCACTCAATTGCTTACATGGTTTATCTTTAGAAATCGAGTAGTGTTATTTAGCACAATTGGTATTAAAAACATTAGTCTAGAAATATCGTGACATTACATGTGAGTCCCTAAATTTTCATCACAAGTGTAATTAAGTTCATGACTTTTTCTGAAGTTACAAAAGGGACTTGATTGGACCTATATAATTTAAGCTTCAATAATGGAATTACAGTCAAGTTGATCGAGCTTGTACGATACAATTATTAGTTTTTGCTCACTCCACTAAAGACGAGAAATTGAACTCTTGAATTATATAAAAGAATACTGAAACAATAATACTTAAATTCCCTACAATTACATCATTTTAACATGTCAACTTTATGTTATCCCCATAGTTATAAAACCCGGCCCGGAAAATCGGTGACCCGAGCCCGAGCCCCTGTCCGGGCCGGATAGATTAATTTAATAGGAATGCACATGGCTCGGTCAAAAATCGGCTTTGACTGATTAAACTGGCGGTTTTGGCCAAGTTAACCTAGTAGGTTTACAGGTTTTCGAAATTGTTTGTTGAACTTTGGACCTCTAAGTAAAATAAATAGTTCATCACCATTGGAGTTGTAGAGCACTTTAGTGTTTTATTATGTGCAATAAGTTATATGTATCCAATCAATCATATATATTAAAAATAATAATTTTTCTAAAAGTATTTTTA